TGGTAAACACATTTAGTACAGACTCAGAACACTAGTACAGTGCATTGTGACATTATAAATATACTTTATCCAATTTTCACTACAGCTCAGTTCACTTTCATTTCTGCTCATTCAGCTTGGATTCAGATAGATCAATTTGGATTTGAGTCTTCTTGGGCATGAGGTCAGTCGTCTAAGAAAACAACGACAGGCGACTCCCTGCACACACAGACTCGCCTTTGATTGTTTTGTTTTACAGTCAAAATAGCATAAATGTTCCTGTTTTCTTTATGATCTCGTTAAGCTCTGACATGGTAATGCAAATCAAAGAATTACTTTCAATTTGAAACTAACCGTATCTGTGCTGTGTTGAGACCCTGTTCGTGATGCCAATTTGTTATGGAAGTTTCCTGGAAGCTGGGGAAAGGAGAACTCAGGCAGCAGCTGATGTCTTATGCAGAAGATTTTAATGTAGACTTGATGCATCAAGGAGACCAGAAGTGGAACAATATACAAACACTAACAGAGTTACATCAGAAATTGTCACCTCCAAGTCTGAAGATGTCTCCCACAGCATCCACATATATCTTCCTCTACTTGCATCACCCATTCTAACAGCACATCCATGAATAGCTAGAATTGCTGTCACTCTCTATGTTACATGAAGGTGTTTACATCTTATTGGATACTGGTGTAATACGCAAATGAGTTGAAGTTGGTGAGAGTTGAAGTTAGTGCGCAGACTATAGAATGAACGGTTGTTTGGTCCTTTTTCTATAACCTGACCTTGTGTACTGCTTAGAGAGAGAAGGGAGTATCTGTGGAATTAGTCAGGCACTCTTCTCTTAATGGTGTACAGATATAATGTGATATAAATGTTAAACATAATGCGGTATATAATATCATATACAGTAATGTGTGAGGATAAATATGAACATTCCTCAACAATTTCTCAGTAGTGCCTTAGTTACAGCTTTTGTCAGTTGTGTAGACAATACATGTTTAATCCCACACAGGTTTACTGTGTAGAATTTAGTGACATCTAGAGGTGAAGGTGCATGTTGCAGCTGAACACTCCTCATTTCACCCTCCCCTTCCCAACATGAAAGAGAACCTGTGGTTCAGTTGTCATGAAAACTCAAAAGGTTTTAGTTTGTCCAGTTTGGAAAAACATGGAAGCGAGAGGACCCCCCTCAATGTAAATATAAAGTCTTTAGATATAAAGAGCCCATTCTATGTTAAAGAAAACAATAATTCATACAATTTAAATGAAAAACACACCAGTGAAAACATCACTAGGATTATTTTATATTCAATTTTTGCCAAAAATCCGTTTCACCTCAATCTTACACACTGGACCTTTAAGACGAGTGCAGCAGAGCCCGGATTCAGTTGAATGTAATTCAAGCCTGTACCAAAAAAAAAACACCTAATCACATCAATTGAAAACATGGGAAGTAAGCCCAGCTTTTATTGCTGCTGCATAGCTGCTGGCAGAGTAGAGGCGAAAGGAAAAGAGGAGAGTAAGAAGGACGGAGGAAGGGGAAGAGTGGCTGGAGACTAAAGCAAAAGGGCACTGCGGCTTTCTGTGGCCCTCGCTGCTGTTAAACAAGCTGGGGTGTGTGAAATTGGATAAAAGAAAAATGCCGAAGTGGGAGTACTTACAGCAGAGGAAGGAGGAAGAATGGTTTCCTCTGAACACAAAGCCCTGTGCAATTGACAGAGAGGTGAGAAGAAGAGTAAGAGACAAGCGAAGGAGCTTAAAGGGAGGAAAAGATCAGGTGGGGATTGGTTTAAGGAGGTGGTGGGGTGCTGAGGGGATTTCACAGATGTACATGAGAAACGAAGAAATGCTGCAATCATTGGAGACCGAATGTTGCAGACGCTGGTAAGAGTTTCTGATAAAGTAGGATTAGAGTTGCTGGAATTAGATGAGAGAAGAGAGACAGGAGGAGAGAAGGATGGCAGAAAATGAGGACTGGGGGGTTGTGGGAAACACAATGGGCCTGCTGGATAGTATCCAGTTTGTTGTAGAGAGGTGAACTGTGAGCACAATCTTACTGCTGAGGTGGAAATCTTCTCCTTCTCTCCATCTCGTCTTTTTTGAGGAGGACATTATGGACAATAGAAACAATTACAAAGTTTTCATCCTCCCACTGTTATTAAAGTGTTCATCCTCCCTCTGTTATTAAAGTGACATTTCTTTCACTTTCTCTCTCCAGCTCACAGACACACTATCTAGCTGGTAGTGCCTCTGAGATTGATAACTTCCAAACCTCCCCCTGAGATTATCTAAATATTCTTTAGAATATGCGCCTGCAGCATCTAAAAGCCATGGAAAGTGTCATTTTTCATAAAAAAAGGTTTTCTGACTCACAGGCAGTACTTTGCTAAAAGTGCCAAAACTGCTCCAGAAAAAAGAACACTGACTTTTTAGTGGTTAAGGTTTCAAGGTTTCTTCTGAACACCATTTGTAACAAAGTTGGAAATGTTTGTGCTCACTTTTCCTGAAGAAATGTTTATTTATATTGCATTTATTTATCACTGTTATTCTGAGTGGAAGTTTGTTGTCTAGGGATTCATTTGGTATATTTGACTTCATGCTTTAGTTTCTCCAGAAGCACGATAACCTCCAAAA